CGACTCTTCTGAATTTGACATCCCTGGAGCGGCACTCTTTGCCAATACTCCCAGGGCCTGTGTGGGAACCACTGTAAGAAATAGGAGGAGCCAGTAGAAACAGATAAAAAAACCCTGGTCCCAGGCCGGGGTTAGAACTCACGACCAAACCCGGGCACCAGTCCACATGCTGACGCTCCAACCGCTCGGCTAAAAGTCTAGACCCCTGGTAGCGCCTATAGACCCAGTTGGTAGCGACTATTATACATGTATCTAATACCAGCCCAGGAAAGAACAAGAAACAGTCATGCCTTCAAATATCAGAGTTATCAGCCAAGAATTGAGGTACTGTAAATGCATTTATGTTCGCGAGGACTAAATTTCGCGCAGCGGAGCAAATAGAGAGTTCGCGAGGGATTTTAGTTCGCTATACAGCAGAACCAAATACAAAAGGGAATGCCGACTTCCCCGCCCCCCCCCCCCTTTCCATGGGTTTACCCGGCCCAACAGTGTTACCTGGCCCCGGAAATCCCCCATATTTGATAATACTGAAGTCCCAATATTTTTCTTTTGTCACACAAAATTGCCGGCTATGGAATCTTTTAACAAAACGCTACTTTAGTACAGAGTAACAGTGATTTGGTTGCAGTTAAAAATTCATACCGATGGCTCGTGCTGAGAATCACACGGGATCTGTATCGTACCGAAGGACCAGGCATCGAACGGTTAGATTTTTACTCGGATATTCAAAGATGAACTTGTAAAATACATTTTCAAAAGCAGGAAAATCTTGTTTCCCGGCATTTATCTCTTGAAATACGGCGCTGATTTGACACAAAAATTAGTTTCATGCCCCGCTCCTGGCTTTCTCAGCTAGCTGCATAAATTTTGACGGTATGCAAATCTCGCGTCACGTGCCCGCATTTCGCGTCTCTGATTGGTTGTGCGTCAGTCGGAGCAGCTCGCCGCGGTAACATACAAGCGGGCCGACGCGATGTAAACAAATTTTCTTTGTTTTAATATAAGCGCTAAAACGCTTTTTCCAAAACTACACATCGATCTTCTAGTGAAGTAATGCATAGTTCCAAGAATCTTTCGGGAAAATGTATATTTCTATGGGGATTTTTGGTGTTTTCGGCGTGATTTTGCAAACCGGAAGTATACGGACCTCGGCGTGGGTTCGTCGTACCCACGCTAAATTTTTAGCATTTTTACCCTCCGTTTTACCAACCAAAACAAAATACAACTCCCGCTAAGGAGAACCCAGTAACATTTCAAATCCCAGCAATTATGTTTTTGATCAAAATATTTGTGGATGTGCCTGCATTTTAGCCGTATTCCTGTCGCAAGCGGCCCCGCGACGTGCACGCTAAGATTTCTTGTACGCAGTTGACAAAAATTGGCCTGACACTGGATTCGGTGTCTCGCTGTAATTTTTATCAGTATAAATAATTCTGATACTCAACAATAGCGCAGAAATATTCTATTTCTTGAAGAACTGGACAGGTCTACTTTTATTTGTGTCTATTTCTGCTGAGACAATACGGATAGTTATACTTGGCTCTATGGGTAGTAGTAACGTAACGTTACATGGAAACCTGGAAGACGGGAGTGTAGCGATACGGTATACAGTTCGCGAGGGACATGACTTCACGAAGCAAGGCTCTTCGCGAAAACCGCGAAGTTAAATCCCTGACGAACAAAAATGCATTTACAGTATCCCACTGACTATGAAATGCTACATTAACAGTCTAGAACATGTTGGGTGCAGATAATTAAATTGTCTTGTAGCAGTGCATCCAAGAAGCATAACATAACTTATCTAGTCCATTTTAACAGTCTACAACATGTTTGGTGCAGAAATTTAAATTGTCTTGTGGCAGTGCATCCAAGAAGTGTGGTTAAGTTATCAGTAGAAAATCCAGGAATACTGAGACTTGAAATAGCAGCAGTCTTTACCTTTCCTGCCCCTGCTCTTCATCCTGGGCATCCCCGTCATCCCATTTCTGAGACATCAGGATGCTCTCCTCTTCCTCTGCCTCCTCCTCAGACTGATGCTCCGCCTCCTCCTCATCGCTACGGTTACCGCACTGTGATTGGCTCACCAGGGACGGTGATGCTATGGAGTCATCAGCCAGGCCTGCCAGAAGGTTGGCCAGGGACCGATCCTGGCTATTTACTGAAACATCAGAGGGAATTTTTTTTCTTTAGTATGCTTAACCTATTGCTGGGGACATATACTCTAAATCTTTTACTTGTTTTTGAATGTCAACAAGTAATCCAATCCAATTTCATTTAATGTATGTCTGCAAAGTTGATATGTTAATAAAGAATTGAATTGAGAACACTGACAGTTTATAAAGCTTACAATAATCATTTAAAAACAGGTTTGCGTTAATATGGTTTGACATTTTCTTGGAGGCTTTCTGCTTGATTAACTACAAATAACAAGGCTTAAACTTAATACCTAAATGTATGTTAAGTAGACTTGGCATTTATGATTCAAAATTCCATGGATTAACTTACACTGCATTTGGGAGGCTTCTTTGCCTGACTCTGAGAAGCTTTGACTCATCTCTACTACAGACTGAACAGCATCCTCATCAACTATGGGCTCATCTTCACTATCTCCCATCTGCTGGGATGAATCTGGATTGTCTAGAGGAAAAAATAAGACTTTATGAAGAGAAGATGTTATTGTACCTGAAGGAATACGTGTACCAATCTTTCAGGATCATTTTAGCCATGTCTAGTGAATATTTTTCTTTCAATACAAATACATATTTTCTGCTTCTAAACTAGCGATTACTAAATGGATGTAGGCACTCTATTGACTAGTATTGTATTAATGGCATTATTTCATAGCTTGAAGAACATTCTTTGTAACATGACTTTTTCACACCTCAAGTATGTATTATTGGAAATAGTACAGGGGGGCTTGCCACACGTTTTTTCTTTGTATGTACATATATCTATATGTAACATTTCTTTAATAAACGGGAAAAAAATTATTTCATAGCTTGGAAGACTTCTAAAATGCCAATGCGAAAGCAAAGGTGTACATGTACTAATGCATAGTATGAAGAGCGAATTGTTACCTTCTATCTGAGAGAAGTGTAGTTCCACAGAGCAAGACGGAGTCAGACTAGATTGCACAGGACTGGAGTCTGAATCATCCGACATGGCTTGGCTCTCATGTAATCTCTCCAACTGGCTTTTTCTGTAACAAACAAACAAACAAACAACATTCAGAAAGGACACTATTTTGTTACACGTGAGTAATCAGAAAGGTCTTATATAATATTGACAAGTTTAGATTCACTTAGATGGTGCTAAAAGTATGCATGTACCACACAGGTTAATCACGATTTATATTTTGTGATTCAAACTGCTTACAAGAGGGATTCCTGCTCTTCTACTATCTCCCTAATCCGTTCTCTCAACTGGAGGTCACTCTCTGTTGGCTGGACATCGGGCCTCTCTGTGACGAAAAAAAATATAATCAGTATGCCTTACATGACTTAAACTGCTTGCAAATTGTCATACCAAACATTTTTTTAAATGACATCAAATCTTACAGTATGCAGTCATCAATCACAGTAAGACGCCAGAGGTTACAGGTAGGTTCAAAAGGATGCTTTTTCCATCGTCTGACACGAACCTTGTGAGGGAGGTGGCTCTATTTGTGAGGATTCTCCTGCTTCTCTCCTACGCTGTTTCTCGTCCTCCCAAATGGCAGCCAGTCCGGGATTTGTTCCAATGTTGGCTGTAACAGATGAATACCAAAACATGAATGAAAAAATACTGTAAATTCATGAAAGGAGGCTTTTGGTATGTTTCAGAAAACAACTACTGTACAAGTATATTGTAATTTCTGGTACTACACTGTCAAGTTCTTTTGACAAAATATTTATACATAAACACACAACAAAAGTTCAGCTATGCTGGGGAGCTTTTGAGACGTACTCTGTCTCTTCATCAACCTGATTAAGATCTCGTCTTGGAGTTCTTTAATACACCTCTCTTTACATTGACAGAACAGAATGCTGGCTCACCTTGTATCTCCAGCCTGTTGAGGATATCAGGGGCCACAGCATCTACCTCTAACTCACACGTACTCTGTCTCACCACCTCAGCCTCCAGCAGCAGAGAACTGTACACACAAACAGAAACAACAGCTTTCAACTGATGACATGAACTGAACATAATATGCTGCATCCTGATGATTTGCACTACAGTATCGCTAAATGGCCAAGAATTTTCTTTTCTCTACAGCATCAGGATCCAAATATACACTGTCATTGGTGCTTCCATTCAACAGCCAATCACAGCTCAGCAAGGACAGTGGTAACCATGGTGATAGAAGGAGTCCAACAACGCATGTGTTTCAAACACCACAGAGAGAAACCAAGACAAACAGCCCAAACACTGGCCTTTTGTGCACTGAATCAAGCAGTCTATTGACAGTTTACTATTTAACACTTCCCTCAATGACAGTAAGATGCTGCTGTAACTATGATGCCACAGTGCAAGGGATGTGATCAGAGGAGTGAACAGGAGCTAAAGTAGGATGAGCACCAGGCTAAGAATAAAGTGGCAACATGTTAAATTGACTTGACAGGAATGTACTAACTTAAAGATTCTTCTTCTTTTCTCAGGAAACAAAATTATCAATTACAAGCAGATTAGAATGTGGACATATTTTTCTGAATGTGTACAAGACTACAAGACTTTTAGCCACTACAGCAAGAACCACAGCATCTCTTTCTTTTCATTTTCAAGTTCTTACTTCTTTCGTTTTCTACATTCCTACATTTTTATAGGTTGGGCTATTCTTCTCCATATTCCATCTCATGACAGGTAGAATCACCAACATACCTGGGTACATTTTCCATCTCCCACACCTGACGGGTGGGAGTGTTGGCATGGCAACTGGATGATCTCATTAGGGATGGCATAGAGGGGGTGGCAGGACTCTCTGGAGGAACATTTGAACAAGGGCTTCTGATTGGCTGGCTGCATGGAAGAGAGCTGCTGCTTGATTGGCTGCTCTTTTGCGATAACGGTTGGTTGTCTCCAACTGGTTGATTAACTGTAACAAAGAAAAATACTTTTAATTCTAGCATCGTAAGCTTCATGTATTTGCATTTGCATTTGGTACAGTAAAATGTTGAAAGTTTACCCCACTGCATGTATGTTAAGATACAAAAAAAATTCTTCAGACAACCTTTGACTCTTTGCTGACGTCACACATGGGAAAAATCATGTGTCCACAGCATTTGGGTCAGATAGCTGAGGAAGACTGAGTGATTCAGTCAAAAATTTCGGTGAGTGAAATTTATGAGTTGGAGAACAGTTTAAATTTTTCATAATCTGCGCTATCTGAAGGCATTAAACACATCATTTTACCATCCTCCTTAGGTCTACGGAACTTGACAGCTCCCAGGTTGATGTAGTTCATCCCATACAGGTTGTAATCTATGAAGAACTGCAGCAGGAAGGGGATATGGGCCTCATGGGGCTGGTAGGGCTTGTTCATTACAGCCCCTCCCTGTAACAGGTCCACTGCCCTGTAGGTAGGAGAAACGTATGTATATAAAGTAATACACTTATTCATTTGTTTCATGATTTTAAATATTAATACGTCTAGCTAATATCACAGTTTCCCTTGCACTGTCACAAAACAAATCTATCTCGACATTGCAAAAAAATACTACAATATATTATAGTGAAGCCACGTGCCTGTTCATCTGCACACATGATAATGCTACACATAATCATCCAACTTTATTTGCCAAGGAGCAGAAGCAAAGAAGGTCCCCTTGAGTATGTAGTAGTTATTTCCCCTGGGAAACCCACAATCTTTGTAATTTCATCTATCAACAGTCAGAAATTTGCAAATTGCACTTGAAGGTGAAGAACATGTGGTGAGTGGGACAGCTCCATTATTGAGTCCATTTTGAAATACATGTAACTATCTCTCCAGTAAACCAAAAGCATAGACAAGAGAGCATGGCATGGTTATGCAAGTATACAAGTACATGATGCACTATGAAGGTAACAGAAAGAAACGGGGACACTCACTTTTTCACCATGAATGGATTGTAGAAATAGATCTTCATAAATTGTTGCTCTTTTTCATGGTAACCATAGTATGGCCTAGAAGAGTGAAAAAAAGAAACAAATTGATGCAAACACATAACTTGTATTCGACTACTTCTTAGTACCCAGAAAACAATTGATAAAGACGTCACAAAACACAAGTTGCATGTTGTCTTTAAGAAAGAAAAATATTGTTGTGATATTGCAACTTTCATTTAAAATATCATTTACTACTTAGATACTAAACATTACCTTTTAACTTTTCTGCATCAATATCATTTACATACCATCCAAAAGCAATAAAGTGGACAACCTATTTTGACTGTAAATTTTGTAGTTAAAGTTTAACACACATGCACAAAGGCAACTGTGCTTGTGATAATACATGTAACTCTTACATAATGGAAGATACTTACATCCCACTAACAAGAGATATCTTGAAGACATGCTGTGTAGTAGAGGAGGCTCTGCCTAACGCCACGTTCAGCGCTCGGTCGATGCTGCTAGCAAACTGCCTGAGGTGGCGTTCAGCCTCCGGAGGCCCGTCATAGGGGACGTAGATGTACGGAAACACTCCATGGAGGTGCAGGCAGGTCTTCTGACCTGAAACAGACCAGGGGCACAGGTCAGTTACAAAACAGGGCCACACAAGGTCATCCTCAAGCACTTTGTATTCCATCCTGCCTGACAGCATTTGTTAGTCTACAATCAGGTTTGTAATCTGCCCTTGCCATGTCAGACTGTCTACTCTATCAGATTTTACATCTTGCGGGTTTCTGAGTAACTTGGTTTTCTCCAACTAGATCAGATTAGAAAGCAGAGGTTTTAGGTAGGACAGAAATATCATCAGTAGATTCATTTCAAAAGGCTATAATAGCAAGTATACATACTGTTCTTTATTGTTTATGTATGTATGCATGATATGAATTTTCACAAAGCCTCCTGCATAAAGCCTGTGATTTATCAAAACCATGGGAGTTAGTATGAATAATTGACTCCTAGCCAGGCCCCTTCCTTTTTACACATGGGAATCATTGCAGTCACAGAACATGACCTACAACCTTTTCGACCTTTGGGGTCACCCTTCCCAGAAAGCCTGTGATGAATCCTAGTTCCTGAATTACAGACACAAAACCCTTGTGGGAGGGTCTGCATGGGGGGGTAGAGAATATGAATCACGAAAAATTTTTGCGCCAATTACAAATTACATTAAAGCCTCAGAGCTGATTACGACTTTACGCTTTGCAGTTAATGTTCTATTACGAATTACGTTGATTTTTGGGGAGGCTGCCTACAGATTACTCTAGACTAAAAAGGCCTGATTACCCCTCACGAAAAAGGGCATGCAGGCCCTCTTGTGGGGGAAAGAGCAATACCATCCTGATGAGCTGTGCCTGCTCTTTCAGCAAGAGCTATCATTTTCAGCTTCCTATAACATAACATCGCAATCTAAGATGATGTTACGAAACTACAGTAAAACTGTATACATTTGGGAACTCTTACGCTTCTGCAGGATACAATAAATGAAACAAATCTCTCATAAAGTTGCATTTTTCAACATTAAATAGATAACACTATTGCATTTAATTCAAAACAAGACACTAGTAGATACTGCTTTTATATTCATTAGGCCACACCAATTTAATTTGTTGGTTTTCGGATTTTTTCAGAAAAAATATGAAGCGACAGGGCCAAAAAAATTAAAATAAAAAAAGGTCTAGGCATCCTATTATAGACTTAAATGCTATGGAATGAGCCATGAAGTCAACACAAAAGGCTGGGTTAAAATTTAAACATTGAATTTTGAACTTTTAATCAAACCACTGCAATGATAGATGGGAAAACTGTAACAACTAGGAAGAAAAGGACTTTCCTCAACTGTTGGGGGCAAAACATGAGCATTTTTCAGTTGATTCAGGACCAGAATCAAATTTTTTTTTTTTTGCAAATCAGAAAAAAACGAAGAGGCGAATCCGAGAACCAACAAATTAAATTGGTGTGGCCTTACAACAACAAAAAACCTTTTCTCTTCCATAATTCATATCACAATATTTCTAAAACCAGAACGAGATATCCTTTTCCAGCCCTCCCTAAACCCTTCTGCAGGGTGATGAGTTATGTTTGGTGGCCCCTATATACCCCTGAGAGGGTAGATGGTGTATTGATGTCAGCAGTCAGACAAATCTCCCAGCCTGCCTGAAGCTCAACCCCCACATACAAGTCAGCTCAAATTACACAAAATAAAACTGGAATGAAGTACAGCCAGGATGAAAAGTGTCAGCTGTGCAGTCCATTCTTTTGTCATATATCTTTTTATCTAAACCACATTTTACTTCATATCTGATATCTACAGCCTGGAATTGTCAAATGTCAAAATGTCAAATCATAATGATGATTATGAATGGCATCCAGATGTAACATTTTGATTATTGCTCTTCAGTCTTTACATTTACTACCACTCAACACATGCAAGACAAATTAGGAAAAAAATCGAATATCAATAATTTTCCTACCATCTTTACCGGTATACTAAGCTTATGCCATATAGCATCCCACTGTCATAAATATTCCATGAAAATCATTAATGATCAATAAAATATTCTCCACAATCTTAGCTAGCAACAGTGAGCCTCTAAAACACTTCATATTGAATTCATAACTTAAAGCTTGCCTGGAAATCGAAGAGAACAGGATACCAGCTGTGAATGTTGTACCAGGTAAATATGCCCAGGTGTGTGATAATTATCTCTCACCATACAGTAACAGGTGTCTGTGCTTGTACCTACTCAATACTATACCCCTTTAAACAAAGAACATGTCAGAACATTTTGCAGAAACACATTGAGTCAGCTGGAAAAAGAGGTTTGGTACCTGACATATAATAACATACAAATGCCGTGCATGGCACACTGATATGAAGAACCATACTAGGTCCAAGTACATTTACTTTATATAATTGCATTACTAGGGGTTCTAGATAGTTTTGATTTCTAAAAATAAAATAAAAACTACAACTTTATGCAGGTACCTGTCCACCACAGAATGATCATGCTGTAAATATGCGTTTCTGTTGCAATACTACTAGATTGTTTCAATCGTGAATTCAAAACACGCACAGCGAAAGATTCCTTTCCCGTCCTTGAAGTAGAAGCCACTGCAAAATAATTGAATTTACTGTAGTTTATATCAACTGCAAGTCTCCAAATTTACTTGCCAAACCCAGCCACACTTCTTATCAGATATAATTACCAGCTCAAAGCAAAACCATCACCATTTACATTCACATGTAAAACTCCATTATCTACCGCCCTAACAAGGGTCACCTAGTCTAGACCTAAGCCTACAGAAATCCGATCCATACTTCTCCCTAGAATTACAATTTTCAAGTGGTCAAGATGAATTGATTGTGACCATACAGAGTAACCTCCAATGGGTCTTAATTATACCTGAAAATCTAGGCAGGCCTCTGAAGCATGGAGTCCACCATCTATTAGTACAAGGGTGCTAAAATACACCATTTGTCAACAAAGAAGTTCTCAGTACCATGGGAATTTAGGGCCAGTATGAAAATACCCACATCTTTCAATGTTTTGTAACTGGTCCATGCAAGCATGTGGGCAGAACGTACTGCGCCTGTGGAAAACCCTGCTTTTTCACAGTTTTGTCAGATGTTTGGTCAACGTTGTTTGGTCATCGGAATTTTGCCTGCTGCAGACGATATCTTTTCCGACATAACATTTGGAAATTGTAGTCGATGGGATGTTAACCTTATATGCGCGAATACGACCTTATATGAGACGTTCTGCCGAAGTGTTATGCACAATACACTACGGGTTCCACGCAGGTGCAGTGAATTCTGCCGACATACTGTCCATGCATGATGTAGTACAGTCAAGAATCTGTGGAACATTCACCATTCTATCGACAACCTGTTATTACATTTTCCCTACTACAATTTCTATGTATTTCCACCTTCTTACAGCAGGGTGAAGGTTTTCTATATCATATATTCTAAATGTTCTTCTATTTCATCTTAAATAGACATTTGCATAAATGTATGAACAAAACATAAAAGAAAGTGAAATGCAACAAAAACCTATTTCACAAACATAGTTCTAAAGCAATTAGAGCCAGAAAATTATAAATCGCATCTACAGCATTCTATGGTGTGTGTCTGTGAGTGATTCTAGCCAGAGGCCTCTCCAAAATGTAATGGTTGAGCTTTATTTGATTGCTTTGAATTGTACCTGTGCTTTGAAAGGCAACACTTTTGAAGTGAGGAGAACCTAAGTGCATTGATTCATAATATGTAGAGCTTAGGCTATACCAAGGGGCTGGGCCTGCTTCACTGAACCCATTAGTTCCTAGAGGGATCTCTCTTGAGAGGAAAATGGAAACCAATTGGAGAGGTCCTCTACAGTAAATTGGATAGGTGTGGGTCTATTGCAAAAGCTTGCAACTGTTTTCAAATCATTTACCATTTCCATCGTGTCATGACACATTATGTGAATGACTGTTTGAAAATCAGACAGGATTGCTTGGTTGCATGTAAAATATGGAAAAAGCACATCCTTTGTTACTAATACTAGTATTGATTTGCTTAAGTCAGACCCTTTTGGGACTTATTACAACAATCAATCAGATTACTACTACTACCATTGGGAGCGATACCAAATTACAAAACCCCTTCTTTCTCTGGTGTGTTTTTGATCCAAACCAAACTAGAAAATGGACGACTTGGAACTAGTAGGAAGATTACAAATCATACCTGTTTTTATACAGTGGTGATAGATTGTATATCTTTACGTACCTCTAGTCTGACTCTCTACTACCTATAAAACAGTTGTACACACTTGAGAATTCAAGATGGGCCTTTATGTATGGTTTGAGGATGTAGCAATGGCTTATTTGGTAAATTGTTAATAAGCTTCCATCTGTTGGGCAAATAACTGTGCAGTACAATATTCCCTGGATCATGGACAAGGTTCTGTGGGGAATAACAGTCCTTATATAACTTTAAACAGCTGTACACTTCTGTTCAAAAGTCACTATTAATAGTGGATACCAATCAACCTGATCTGAACACAACAATTCAAAACACTGACCATTTAAATGGGCAGATTCATTACAAAATTGCGTAGTTTGCTTTGATTACCAAAACTATGAGCTTAAATCTGTATGAC